GATTCTGCAGCTCCCAGAATAAAGACTTTTATCATGTAGTTTTTGGTAGAAAGAGAGAGAAATGATAAAAACAATCAGTCATCCAAATGGAAATTATTGAGCTCGTTTTAATTTATCATGCGATTAATTGATTTATTGATTAATTGCTTATTGCAACAGGCTCAGATAGAGGCTGATATCGGCCCTCCATGGTGCAGCGTTTTCTCCTGTCAAGTTTATTAGTTAGAGCACATTTCAGCATCCAGGCAGTTCAAAATGCTCTACACTATAAAAATGTAATAAAGCAGCTAATTATGAAACAAGAAATAGACATTACATTTTGCCAAATACCATCATCAAGCGTGTACAGATCAGATAGCTGGGTCTTTAGCCTTGATTTGAAGGAATTCAGTGTTTCAGCTGTTTTGCAGTTTTCTTGTTCCGGATTAGAGGAGCATAAAAATGCTGACACTGCTCTGGGGCATCCATTGCCTCTGACAGTAGAAATGATCAAAAACAGAACGCTGTGCGGGAAATGCAGACACACCAGTTAGAGGTGAGATTCAGGCTGGATTTCTATTGGTTGAGGGCTCAGCCAGCGCTGCGTTCAGGTGTCTCCCTGAGCCGTAATGTGCCGAATGTGAAGGATTTTCTCCAGGCACCTTTAAACACTGACCTCCCTCTGCTCTCTCCTTGTGCTGCCAGCACATAGACCAGATCATGAGCTCTCACGGGAAGCAGATCATGCAGGCGGTGACCCTGATCCTGGAAGCCGAGCACAGCATAGAGGTCAAAGAGCAGGTGAGCGTACGAAAGAGGATTTCTGTGCAGCACTTGGTCCTGCTGCTGCACTGCAGGATGGGATTTCTACATTTTGTCCGAGTTAAATCTGTGGTCAGCTCAGATGAAAGCACCGACTCTTTGTTTTTTTTGTTTTTTTTTCCACTCAGACGCTTTGCATCCTCGCCAACATCGCCGATGGAAACACAGCCAAGGAGCTCATCATGACAAACGATGACATGCTCCAGAAAATTAAATACTACATGGTACGGCCCAGCGTTGAACACAAGCTTGCTTCACTGTAACTTTCTGATTCTGGTTTTCAGCCTCTTTAAAAGAAATGCATTTGTTTAGCTAGAAACTGAACATTTATTTCATTTTGTTTAATTGGATTCGTATCACATGAGGATGTTTCGTATGCTCTTATTACTCGCGTTGAGAATAATCAATAACTTCTATAGGAGAACGCTTTGATGATTTATTGTTATGACTGACGTAAAAATGTTTAGAGAAAAACTATCGATTCAGGATTTCAGGAAACATTTGAGGAATGAATCAATAATGATGAATATAGACATGTGATTAATATCAATACAGCCGATAGAATATTCCCTGAACCGCCAAGCCAGAACCGCACAGCATTCTGAGAGATGTAGGAAAAGGAAAGGATTCAACTGCTCAACCTTTGACAGCGAGCTAAGCTAGTTGGTGGCATCAATTAACTCAGTCTTTGGTTACCTAGCAACAACTGTTGCTAAGTAACTTGGGTAGCAGCAGTTTTATGTTTTGCTGCACTGCTTCATAACTACTTAAAAATAATTTTTAAAAAAACAGTGGAGTGAAACTCTGTAAAGAATTCCACATAATAAAAAAAAACAACTAGCCAATAATTACCAATATTGACAATTATCAGTACTGACTGGTATATGAGCTGATATGATGAGTTTTTCAGTCGTGTTGTCATTCTGAATTGTGCTGACGGCTCAGAAGGCGTTGGTTTCGCTGCGGAGCGGGGACGTGTGTCTCTGACGTCCTCTCTGTCCTCCGTTCCCACAGGGACACTCGAACGTGAAGCTGCAGCTCGCCGCCACCTTCTGTGTGTCCAACCTCATCTGGAACGAGGAGGACGGTAAGGACTGCTGCCAGCTGCTCGATTCAGATTACAGAAGAACTCGGATTAAAACAAACATGGCAGAAAAAGAGTTTCTATTACATTTCTGTTAGTCGCAGGGTTTCTTTTAGTAATTTTTTTAATGTACCCTTTTAAAAGTTGATCGATTTTTGTCGTGAAGCTGAAAAGTCAAACCTGGGCAAAATTCCTACATTATACCAGTCAGTAGTTTTATCATGACAAAATAAAGTTTAAATATGGAGGTGTGTTAGTTTTAACTTCTGTTTAGATTTTGTTTCTGTTCTCTTAAATCCCAACAATAAGTTGCTCTGACATTAACTTTTAAACACAAACAGATCAGCAGCATGTTTCCATGTTGCATGTTTAATATGCCGTATTTTCCGCACCTAAAAACCTTCAATTTCCCCAAAAGCCGACAGTGCGCCTTATATATGGACCAATATTGAGCCACAACAGGTCTAGCAACTACGGTAAGCAGCCGCCGACTTCATTTTCGCCTGTGGAAGAAGAAGCGCGCGGTGCATGCTGGGATAGTTGTCAGAACGCTGGTTTGTTAATAAACTTTGACTAACCTATCTACCTACCAACCGTCTATAATCAGGTCGTCTGCAGGTCATTTAGCACCACGTTCTCCACCAACATGCTGTGTGCGAACGGAGAAGGGTGACCATCGTCCGGCCACGCCCCGGCCCAGTCGCGGAAGGCTCTCCTCGCCGACCGGAGTCGGACTGTTTTGTTGACATTCTTTATGTCAACAAAGTGGCTTTAGACATTCACCAGGGTGCTTCACTAGGGTTACCAAGGGACCAACCCTATACATTTAAAGCCGGGGGGCTGGGGGGGAGACAGAGACTGCGGCGGCAGTGTGTCGGTTGGTCTGCGTTACCCAGAAAGCAGTTGGGCGCAATATCGCAACACCAACACCGCGAGTGAAACAATGACTGGGCCAGCCTACTATATAATGTACTCGTGGACCAACTTTTTATTATCACACATCCACATTTGTAAATTACGGATTAAATCGCGTCCCTAACTGTAGCGTCTTATTCTATGCGCCCTATATATGAAAAAAAGTTTTAAAATAGGCCATTCATTTAAGGTGCGCCTTATAGTGCAGAAAATACGGTAATTAATTACGCTTTTCAATCAACCAAAACAAAACGGTGTTAGTTTAAATTGTGTTTCAGTGTGTTTTCACTGAGGAACATTAGAGTGTCTGGTTGTAATGATCGGTTTCCAGTTTATTTCAGATTTCTCCCACATCATTTTTCAAAGTACTTTCTTGTCCACTGGAATCTGGTTTAAAATTTAATGACCCAGCTGCAACCAAAGTCAAAACATTTGCTAGAAAGCACAGCAAAGTCTTGATATTAATCTTAGAAATTTTCTAGAACAAAAAATGCGAAAAATGTGTAAATATTCAGGAATTTCCAACTTTTTTTTCTGAAAAATTTCTGAAATTAAAATAAAAACTTCTGAATTTTTTTTTGGCAGTAATTTACTCTGTCTACAACGGCCTCAGTTCGCCGTTGTAGAACGATTGAAGACTGGGTATAAATCGATACCTAGTCGATTTATACCGACTTCTTTTTTTAAAGAAGTCCGAGTACCGAGTCTTTTTTTAAAAGTAGAATCAGGTTGAAAATCCTGGAGTCTTCGACACGATGATGAAGTTTCCCGTTTGCTCCCGGTTGTGCGCCAGGCTCTCAGGATCGCCAGGACAAGCTGAGGGAGATGGGCTTCGTGGACGTCCTGCACAAACTGACGCAGTCAGCCGACCCCAACCTCAGTGACAGGTTGTTCCAGAAACCCCCTCTGCTCCTCCGTCACCAAAGTCTGACCATAACCATGACGACGATGTGTTTGTGTCTCTGCCAGGGCGAAGACGGCGCTGCAGCAGTACCTGGCATGACTACAGTGGGCAGCGATCCTCTACTGCCAGCCTAACTGACGGTCATCTAGAGGACGCCTGCCGCTGCCTCTTTGGGTTTATGTTGGCTTTCGTTTTGAGACTTGCACAAAGACACCTTTTTGTTTCGTCTTGGACCTGTGGCCCGCGTTTCTCCTGCCTCCCGTTTCCAGCGGTTCTTCTCGGCCCCAACTCTTCCTGGAGCAAGAGGAGGCTCCGAGCGTGTGGCTGTTTGGTTGTTGGAGAAATTAGGGAAGTTTTACTTTTTTTTTTTTTTTGTCCTTTTGTCTGTTTTTGCTTGAGAGGTAACTTTCTGGGGTTTGACGTCAGAATCCCATACATGCGCTGGTCTGAGGCCTCTCTTCTTCTGGGACTCCTGATGGTGGAGATTTGGAACAGGAGAACTTCCTGGTGTTTGGATTAATATTGCTGTTAATATTAATGTCTACCCAAGGCATCACTAGCAAGGATATATTTGGAAGAAATGCCTATTTTGAAACTTTGGGTGTTTTATTTTTTTGTGGACATATACCTCGTAAATAAATATAAATATATACATATATATATATATATAAATTTAAACATAAATATATATTTTTGGATTTTTATTTTCCCCTGTTCTCAGCCCACTGACTTCATCCTGTCCCGCTACACCTCCACTCTCAGCACAGTTGGACCTGCAGCCTGATTGGATCGCCATTAAAACCCTGAATTTTGTCTGCAGGGGTGAGAACAGAAAACAAACCCAAGGATCCCAGATTTCTAAGTTTCCGTTGGTGACCGTGAAGAGGCTGCCTGCACTCGACGCCCATCACCTCTGCCCAGTGTCCTTTCAGTCCCCATGAGAAATGTAGATGGTGGTGCTTAAACCAATCTGCTCCGTTATCAGTGGACCAGAGGAGGATTCACTGTGTCACCCTCCCCCCCTCCTCCCCTCTACTCCTTTGTCTGTGTGTTTGTCAGAATGAAAACATGGACAGGAAGCCCCCTCCTCCAATAGGTCCACCTAGCGCTCCGGTGTAGAACCTCCCCTCCATCCAGGGGTTTTTAGTGTTGCCCTCTAACATTTCAATCCGTACTGAAGTTCTGATAGAATGAATGTTACAAAGTGGAAAATATATGCAGACCTGCAGAAGGATTCCTTTGTGTTGTGTGTTATTTCTTCTGTAGGGAGGCTGCATAGAGTTTTTGTTTCAGACCCAAACCTAGATAAAGCTAGTTAAAGCTGCAGTATGTAGCTTTTTTTTTTCTTTTTGCATATTTGTTGAAACTGTATGAGAGATAATTTGTGTAAAAAAAATTATTTCTCTGCCTTCTTTCTCCCAGTGCTCCTAGTACTTATTAGAAACAACCAGTCAGAGCCAGGAGGCGGGTCTTGGCGCTGCCAGTCAGCTAGCAGAACCTGTCCTGAATGCTAGGCTGGTTAGCATGGCCACCAATGACGGTGGATAGATGATTTTCCTGTAATGGTAGGTCATTTCTCTGTCATTTAGCAGTGAGTATATGAGATTGATTGGCATCACTAAGACCCGCCTCCAAGCTCTGATTGGATGTTTTCAGTTTCTTGAGATACCAATAGTAGCTCAGAGAGGAGGTGGAGGACCTTGAATTTTTTTCCCCACAGATTGTCTTGTCTCATACTCTGTCAAACATGGTGACAGTTTTAACAAATATATCTAAAAACAACATATTTAAAGAAGTGACAAAGTGACATACTGCAGCTTTGATGTATTCATTTCTGATGTAAACCCACAACATTGCAGAGCCTGACTTTTAATATTTGGTACTAGGAAGCGTCTAGATGCTCCTTTTAGTCTTTTTTGTTTTGGGTAAATTTCTTACAAGAATAAAAATACGGGGTTAATTTAACTATATATATATATATATATATATATATATATATATATATATGCTTCGACCTTGTGATGGTCACCGTCACGGCTGAGTACGGTTAAAGAACGGGTTCGTTATCGACACCAACAACGTGGCATTTGTGACTGTAACTCCGTATCGTTTGACAAAGATGTCAGGCCCAAAATGGCCTCTTTTCTAATTTTTCTTAGTGTGTTTCTGGCTTGAAGCAAAGGACAGTATCCAATGAAATGAAGGTGCTGAACTAAACATTTAATATTCTTGGTTCATCTGGAGTGAAATAAAAGTGAGTCATTGTTAATGTCCATGTTCCCACCTGCTCATCAGGTTTGACTCCGTTCTGTTGTCACGTCGTGCCACCAGCGCTCCCATCGTCACACTGAGAGACTCCAGTTCTGCTCCGCTTCCACGGAAAATGGCTTCCGACTGTCGGCGGTTCTGAACGGCCCGGTTCTGTTTCAGAGCGACGACGTCATCGCCGCTGAAAATGAGGCTGAAACACTTCGACGCACTCTGGTTTGCACCCAGGATGAATGGATGTTTAGTGCCTTTCAAAGTATTCACATTCTTGGAATTTTTCCACATTTTGTCACATTACAACTAAAATATATTATTTTTGTGATTTCAGGTAGAAAAGAATAGAATATACTTTATTGATCCCCCAGAGGGAAATTGACAAGATATTTCATCCAAAGTGTTAATATTAGAAATGGATGTAACCAGAAACAACATAAAATTTATTCAAAAATATGTACACAACTGTGATATCATAGGCAATTTCAAAATGGCTCAATATAAAATGAATAACAAGTATGCACATGGAGATATGTTGGTCTATAAATACATTTACAAATGAGTTCTGAAAAAACTTAATGACACTCAGAGTTGGACGTTACAAAACCTGGCAGACTGAATAGACCGGGACTGCTCCGGTCCGGTCCTGGAGAGCTACGAGCAACTTTAAGATCCATCTGTTCTCAACAGACGGGGATCAAATGGCTGAATTCCCTCAGCAGCAGCCATTCAGCTAACGAGCCTGGAGTCGAAGTCTGAATTTTATTTCTTGGTGGCCCTAATCCTCTTCCACTCGGTCCCAACTTGTTGCAACCCAAATCATTTTCATCCATCACCTTGTCTCCATGTCAACCAGATTATACCCAAATCAAGCTGACCCTTCTGGGTGCTTAATCTGAATTCCTACCTGCTGTTTGGAAATTGTTTCTTTTTCAAAACAAAAAACAAACAAACCTCAAAGACTCCACTCTTACAAAACAACACTTCTTTATTTTAATGTATGTAATCCCAAGTTTAAATTTGTATGTAACAGCAGTCTGTAATAAAATACATCGGAAACCCAGCAGCCTCCACCAGGGGGGGCAGTTTTCCCTCCGGCCTGAACAGCTCAAAAGCAGGCACGTTTCTCATGCAAAAATAATAATAAAAAAACATGCATTTGATTTAAATCCCAGTGGGGTATCACTCTGCATCACATCTCACTGCAACAACCCCCCCCCCCGGCCTCCCCCCACCACCCCCTGCGCGCCGCG